CTATTGCAGAAAATACGGAGGCATGGGATTGAGGGTGATTTAGCGGTTTGGATCAGAAATTGGCTAGCTGTAAGAAGACAGAGGGTGGTGGTTGATGGGAAATGTTCATCCTGGAGTTCAGTTACTAGAGGTGTACCTCAAGGATCTGTTTTGGGGCCACTGCTGTTTGTCATTTTAATAAATGACCTGGATGAGGGCGTAGAAGGATGGGTTAGTAAATTTGCGGATGACACCAAAGTTGGTGGAGTTGTGGATAGTGCGGAAGGATGTTGCAGGTTACAGAGGGACATAGATAAGCTGCAGAGCTGGGCTGAGAGGTGGCAAATGGAGTTTAATGCGGAAAAGTGTGAGGTGATTCACTTTGGAAGGAGTAACAGGAATACAGAGTACTGGGCTAATGGTAAGATTCTTGGTAGTGTGGATGAGCAGAAAGATCTCGGTGTCCATGTGCATAGATCACTGAAAGTTGCCACCCAGGTTGATAGCGTTGTTAAGAAGGCATACCATATGTTAGGTTTTATTGGTAGAGGGATTGAGTTTCGGAGCCATGAGGTCATGTTGCAGCTGTACAAAACTCTGGTGCGGCCGCACTTGGAGTATTGCGTACAGTTCTGGTCACTGCATTATAGGAAGGATGTCGAAGCATTGGAAAGGGTGCAGAGGAGATTTACCAGGATGTTGCCTGGTATGGAGGGAACGTCTTATGAGGAAAGGTTGAGGCTGTTTTCGTTAGAGAGAAGAAGGTTAAGAGGTGACTTGATAGAGACATACAAGATGATCAGAGGATTAGATAGGGTGGACAGTGGGAGCCTTTTTCCTTGGATGGTGATGGCTAGCACGAGGGGACATAGCTTTAAATTGAGGGGTGATAGATATAGGACAGATGTCAGAGGTAGGTTCTTTACTCAGAGAGTAGTAAGGGTGTGGAATGCCCTGCCTGCAAAAATAGTAGACTCGCCAACTTTAAGGGCATTTAAATGGTCATTGGATAAACATATGGATGATAATGGAATAGTTTAGGTTAGATGGGCTTCAGATTGGTTTCACAGGTCGGCACAACATCGAGGGCCGAAGGGCCTGTACTGCGCTGTAATGTTCTATGTTCTATGTTCTATGTTCTATAATCTTATTTACTTTAATGAAGCCATTCCCAATTTTTAAAGTAATTTTCATAACCGTATTACCCCATATTCCAGTTGCAATCTTTGTGAATCTGTGCTGTATTTTTTTATATTCAACATTGTGTGCAACCCCAAATGTCATGCCCTATTCCATCCCTATTAAGGTTTTTTCAAGACTCACCATCATATCTCTTACACTTTAAATCTCTTTTGATAAAATGCAGTATTCCTTTCATTGCTTCAATCTTGAGGGACAGCTTTCGATATCTACAGTACATCTTCTGATCTTTCTGACATTGAACTGCAGCTACCACATATTTTGCACATTTCACATCTTATAAATCTCCTTGCAGATTTGGATGCTATTCCAGCTAACCTCACTAAATCATTGATGTTCAACGGGCAGAAGCAGTCCCAAAACTGAGCTCTGTGGTACACCATTGCATTTAACTTGTATTCTCTGTTCCCTGATCAGCCTTGAATTGAGAAGCTTGTTAAGGTAATTGCAGAGGGCAGTTTAGAGTGAACCACATTGTTGTAGATCTTGAGTTGCACATCAGTCAGACCAGTTAAGGATGGCAGGTTTCCTTCTCTAAAGGAGGTTAGTGAACTCATGGCCATGGACAGAAATCATAAACATGGCCCAAGCACAGCGGCCACGCACTCCTAGTCTCAGCATAGCCACCGCATGCTGGCCCTTCGGCTTTGCTGTGACCAAGTAAACTAGGTGAGTTTTTACAACAACAAATGATAGTTTCATGACCAGCATTACTGAGATTAGCTTCCAAATCCAGATTTTATTAATTGAGTTAAAATTTCATTTGATGCCATGGTGGCATTTGAATCTCAGATTATTAACCAGATCACTAGTCCAGTGACCTTCCTTCCAGGCCACCATGTGTTCCTAATATTTTCTTTACTGCAAATATTTCTGCAGTTTTCCACTGCACAGACATGTTGAAAGAATACTGCAATATAAACGAGAATATTAATTCTCAATTTACCCAGTGGAAATGTTTTATGTTCCTGGTATATTCCTTCTCCTCACCATCACTATCTTAATCTGCTTCAGATCATGACACAGTAAGGTGCCCTCTCTACAGTAGTAGGGGCCTAACTTAAAAGGTAAATGAAGGGAACGAAAATTACACAGTTTAAAAATCCTCAGCATCCTTGATGTTGGACATGTTAGATATTCATCTGGAGACCCAATTGTCTAATATATGACTTGTATCCTCATCAATGGCAAAATTTGTAGTTATCTTTGAGTTCTGAGTGAACGGATATTTTCCCAATCTGCTTTTTCACTGGATTTTATTTACAAAGATGATGAGAGAAACTGGCAAGGGGAAAGAGTCTTCCAATTTTTTTTTTAAACAGATGCTTCTATTTCTTTCTCTCCATGATGCCATTCAAAGGCAACTGGTGAAATAAAATTCAGTGTGCATTCCCGTGTCTGGTCCCCACCATATTTTTAAGCTGGCTAGCTGGGAAGCTACACTTTCATCTTCCAATATATGAAATTATCAAACACATATGAATTAAGCAGGAAATGCAAATTTCTTGATGTTGACTCAAAAGCCTGGTTTTGATGTATTTAGATAAAAATGCTAATTCCAATGCAGACAGATTTTGTTATTCTGAGACAAAGGCCTCATAGACCCTGCATCAAAATCTATGGTCAGGTGACCACCGTAGTCAGTTAGATCCATATTTTTTCTTTGGTAAAACCGTATTAATCAAAATAGGTCTCAGATATAACAACCTGATGTTAGAAGTTAAAATTTGTTAAGCCCATATTCACCACTATTTTAACAGTCTCTAACTACAAAACAATGCCAATAACATGGGAAACAGTGTAAAAGCAGAAGAATCTAGTATTTTCTTGCACCAGAGATGACAGCAACTTATTATAGATAATGTCTGATCACTCTTCTTGCTTACAAACATTAACATATATGGTTAACATCAATGCCAGTCCTTCTACCATATAATCAATCAAAAACATCTGCCCGAGGAGCAGTATCAAGTCACTGTTTCATTATAGGGGATACTTTTTGTGTCTAAGACCTTCAGACCAGAATTATAATTTTAATCGCTCAAATATTGTTTAACATACTGTTTTACACCTTCATGTGAGTTCCTATTGCTTGTCTGAAGTATACTTTCAGAATGCATCACATGGAGGCACCGTGAGATGTGGTATACTTTATTTACTACCATTGTGAGAATGTTACAATGCTGCAGCTTCCCCCTATCCTGATGTGTTGCAAGCCATGCTCTAATACTGAGCCAAGTTAAGTCACTATCTCTTTGATCCCCAACCTTTAAGATGAAGGAAAATGTTGAACCAATTCCGATACGTCTCCAGTTTGAACGTCCTTACAAGGTGCTTTTACTGTTGTCACAGACTCCTGAAGAGAATTATGAGCTGCAGTTGGTCACAATTCATAGTTGACTGCAGAGAATTAATACTATGCACAAAAAACCTATTCAAGGGAATGTAATTATTCATAATATTTTAGAAGCTTTCTGGTAATTAAATGCCTTACAAACAAAAGGTTTGGTACCCAGAAATCAGAAGACTTTTTTTTTTTAAAATCACAGTTAGAAAATGAATTGACCTTCAAGTTAGGCTTACCACCTACAACTCCACTTTCTAACTTGTGCTTTACAAATTACTCAGAATCTTGACTTATCTCCCTAATGGTAAGAGATAGAAAATTTTGTGGTGCCTAACTCTTTTCCTAATTCTCCAAACCCTGCCGACCATCTTAAAGACACCAGTCATTTGTGTGATGGAATATTCAATACATGCCTGAATGAGTGCTGCTCCAACAATACTCAGAGAGCTCAAACCCATTCAAGAAAGAGAAGGTCTTAGTTTGGAACATCATCAACCATGATGCTGAAATTAACACACACACATTGTAAAACCTACAACTGCCATGTCAAAGCTGAGAGAGAGTGTGGAACAACAGAACCTGACTGAGATCACCAACCTGCAAGGATATCAAGCCTGCATCCTCAGCGCACTCCACAACTCAGAGTTCCTGGAACATTTTAATTCTATCATCATGCACTCATTGGTAAGCAAACATTTGCTCTGGCTCAGCCAAGATCATCTGACCAATGACAGCAATATATCCAAAGACCTTCTTTGGAATGAACTGGCCACACAATATCCTGGGTACCTATATCCCCATTACAAGGCCACCTGCAAGTTAAACAAAAAGGCAGTAGGCATTGACAGTGACAACCGGGAGAGTGTCAATGATACCAAGACTAACGAGGCTGATTGTTTGGAGGGCTATACAATCATGCCTGCCATGGGGTTCCTGAGGCATATTAGGTAATGCTTAAAATAGAGTTGACCAACACATTGTAAACCATCATCTTATGAGATGGAAGGTTGCCATCACTATAATGTTGTTCATGGTGCTTGCTTAATCAATTTTGGTGAATCCATTCTATTACATTGTACGTAACTCAATTTTCTGCATTTTTCAATCTTACTTTGTATTACCATTTCAACTGCATTTTTAGGATCTTTGAGAATAACAAAACAGCTTAAAATCAAAACAATATTTCAGTTTAGCATAATGGTAAGTTGATATAATTTTAGTTTAGTTTCTAGTAAATTCTTGTTTTTAATCACTGTTATACTTATAATAATATACAGAGATATCAAGGTTGCCTACCTTGGAGATATTTTGATTTTAGTTCTAGATCTAATTCTTCCAATAAATTTAAACCTGAATGTTTTACATTTCTTTCTGAATAAACCATGGAATATCTGTAAAATTTGTGCTTTATCACACTTCTGTGTGACACGCTTTCTTCTTTCCAGTAAAAATCATATAATAAAATCATATATACCTTGTGGACATAAACCATTTGTGCAATTTTCTGACTCCATAACAAGTCCATCACATTCCTTCCCACCGTTTCTTGGTGCTGGTTCCGAACATTCTCTATTTCTCCAATGTGTGCATTCTGTTCCACATGCTGACCATTTGCTCCATTCAGTCCAACTTCCATCTACTAAAATATGAAAAGAAACTTATATTGAAGGTCAATTTTTTGTGGAAATTTGACTTCTCCAAATTCTTCTTGGGATAAAATTAATTTCTTCTTAAATCAAAACATAACTTTCAATCCATACTACGGTATAGACTATTTAATTGAATTACTGTAAATCTATTGTAATGTGTGCAGTTCAATATTGATTCAGGTCAGTTTGTAAAGAAATGATAAATGGAAGCTCATGATGAATCACAACTGCTTTAACGTGCCATCACGCTAACAGCAACAATTAGTGTTTATATAACGTCTAAGATAATGAAATGTCCCATCATGCTTTACAGCAACATGTTAAACAAAATGTAATAATAAACCACATTAAGGAATATTAGAGCGTACAGTATGTGACAAAAAACTTAGCCAAGGAGATAGGTTTTACGGAGTGCTATGAAGCAAGAAAGAGAGGTAACAAAGTAACGGGATTTAGGGAGGGAAATCCAGATTAAAGGAACCTGACAACTGAAGGCAAGGCTACAAATGATGGAACAATTAAAGTTGAGGCTGTTTAAGATGTGTGAAAACTAGGATATTGGCAGTAGAGATTTGGATGGTGCTAAATTTAAAGTCAGTGGAATATGGAAAGTCAGTTGGAAATGTGTTAGAGCAATCAAGTCTAAAAGTAAAAAAAAAGTACAGATAAAGATTTTAAGAGCAAATAAACATAGGCAGTGTCATAGTCAATTTTTAAAGGAAATGTTTTAAGGGATCATTTGATTCCCTGGACCTTCAAAAGCATTATGTCACTGTATCCTCCACGAACATCATTCTGGAAGGGTCATGCATTGCCTGAAGCTGAACTGGACCAGCCACTTAAATATTCTGGTTATAACAGCAGGTCAGAGACTGGGAGTTTTGTAGTGATTCACTCACCTCCTGGCTCCCTAAAATCTATTCACCAAGTACAAGGCACAAATGAGAAGTATGATGAATGCTGTGAACTTGCCTGGATGAGTGAAGCTTCAGCAACACTCAAGCAGTACAACACCATCAACCAACAAAACAGGGGACCTGACTGGTACATCAAGCATTACTTTAAACACTTAGTCCATCCACCAATGCACAGTGGCAGCAGTCTGTACCAGATACAAGATGCACTGCAGCAACTTGTGTTTGACAGCACTTTTCAAACCCACAACATCTACAATGTAGTTGGGCAAGGGCAGCAATCATATAGGAACTTTTCTGTCTACAAACTACTCGAAAACCGCACACCAGCTCAAGCTACATTGCTATACTGTTAGCACATCTGTATCAAAACCACAAACTCACTTCTAACAGCAACTGAGTTATATATAAATAAGACTAATGGCAGTAGTTCAATAAGATAGTTCACCAGAGCCTTCTCAAGTGCAGTTAGAGATGGACAATAAATGTTGTCCTTGTCAGTGATGTTAACATCATGCGAGTGAATAAGAAACCAAAATTGAAGCAGAATGTACAGACTATGGAGAATGATCATAGAAGTGAGTTTATACAGTATTGCACCAGCACACAGCTAGCTGTACAGACATGATGACCAGAATCTTGCATTTTTGAGCCAAAGTGTAGTGGTGGGCAAGAGTTACCTTTGCTTGGGAGCTTTTTGAGTTTTCCCATGTTCTTCTTCTCACTTGTATTTGCACGTATGGGCAAAATGGCAAATTTTATAGGCAGGTGGGCAAGGAAGTTCTGCTCAACACCAGGACTTCCTAGGTGCCTATTTACAGGCACTGTGTTTAAACAGCACTCGGACAGCATTTCACTCAATGCAATCCAGAGGTGTGGCTCAACCTTTGCTTATCATCTACACTCACACCCTGGCAGCGTCAGAGGTCAGGCAAGAAGCAGCACTGTTTTATCGCAGTGGCTCTGTTGAGGGCTTTCTGAAGGCTGTCAAGGAAAGAAGGGAACACCTTTTCTCCAGATAAGGAAATAAATGGCCATCTCGACTGACAAAGACAGTTTGGACAGAAGTGAATGGATAATCTACTTCCCTCTAACAGGGTTTGTACCCTGGCCTACTCAATGAGTCATGCCCTACTGAATCTGAGATAGCATTCAAAGGTTATTAATGCAGAGGACTTTTGCACACAAGGTTGGATGCCAGGCATCTCCATCAGATTCTTCATGTGAAATCAATGGCTGTCACTTCATTGCAACTAATGTTTGGGACTACATACACTAAATGGCACTGTCTCTTGCACATGTGCCAGGGCTCACACTTAAAACGTCAAAGGAATTACAACACTCAGCAGCTCACATACCATTAACTCACTGACCTTTCATCACAATGAGTAGAAATTATACATTATAGCTTTTCACCAAAGGCTTGCACGGCACGACACAACCACAGAAATGGTTTCTGGATAAACAGCTCACAGATATCTCACACAAACACATCACATATACTTTAGTGTTTATCCATAACTGTAACTCTTTTAACTATGCCAAAATATCTTTTGTTTGTTAACTCCTAGCTTCTCACATACCAGATTCCTGCTACTGTTCACACACACAGAGAGCTATGATTGTGTGTGTGTATCAGTTCAGGTGAAGTGCTCATACAGCCATGCTAATGTCTCTTAATCCTGGAAAAGGAGAGAAGTATTGAGTACAATGAACACAAACACACCTATACAAATAGGGAGTAGGTGATGCCTAACATAAGGATTCTGATCCTTTCAAGGAGCAGGCCACTGAGCTGTCAGGAGAGTGAGGGGAATGTGCCTGTGCTGAAGAGGAGATTGAATATCAACAGCAATCTAATGAGAAAGCCTCCAATCTGCTATTCCCACCTGCGGATCAAGCATTCACAGGGTAAGGGTGGCAGTTTTCAGCATGAACAAATATTTATGTTTTTATACGCAGCTGATACAAGGGCATAAGGAATCTACAAGCGGGATATGGATAGAATGAGTGACTGGGCAAAAACATGTGAGTTGAGTGCTATGAGGAGCTTGCATGAAATAGGAATTGAGACCTGGCACAGATCAGACATGGTCTGATAGAATGGCAGGGCAAGCAGGTGAGCAGAATGGCCTATTTGTGCTCTTGTTTATTATGTTCTTTATTCTTATGCTTTTCTCAGAATGAAATGCATCATAAGACATGATTGGAGTGTTGGTGTAAGGAGTTGATAGAGCTTATTCATCTTTGTACTACAGGGATTGCTTCCCTTTAGCACTAAGCCATTAACTGAATGTTTGCACAATAGTATATGTCAGTATCTGTTTTGAGTACCTCAGTTAGACGTGCTGCTATAAGCAGGTCATAGGCTGCTCTTATGTGTACTGCCTATTCTCGGCAAAGTCATCTTTTGTGAACTGATTTAGGACAAAGATGCTGTTTGTTACTTTTTTATTCGAATAAATCACGAACTACTCTTCCCCCTCTAACACTGTTGTTGGTCTCCTCCTTTCCTTTAGTGTCCCCTCTGTCCTTCCTCAATCTCTCCCTCTGGCTATTGGCTTCTGTCACTCTCTCCTTTGATATTCCTGCTCTTTCCCTTGATCCCACTCATCCAGGTCCCCATGTCAACCTTAGTTTTACCTGATTCTTTATTCAAGTACTAACCATTTCTCCTTTCCCATCACACCAGATTACCCCCATTGTGTTCCACATGTAAATACGCAGTTCCCACCATTCCTTGTCCCTCTTGCCTTATCATTGCATTCCATTTACTCCCTCCATTCTCCAGGATCCTCCACTGCCCCAACAGCCATGCTCTTTGCCTTCCATTCCCAACCATTCTTTTCTACATAACTGAACCACGTGTGAACATTTTGAGTATAGTGTCTTTTTAAATTCAGCCACTTTTGGAATATGAAAATTAACAGAATAGAATAGGGCAGCATAGTGGCTCAGTGGTTAGCACTGCTGCCTCACAGCACCAGGGATCCAGGTTCGATCCTACCTGCAGACAACTGTCTGTGCGGAGTTTGCACATTCTCCCCGTGTCTGCGTGGGTTTCCGTCAGGTGCTCCGGTTTCCTCCTACAGTCCAGGTGCAGGTTAGGTGGATTGGCCATGGGAATGGCAGGGTTACAGGGAAAGGGTGGGGGATGGGTCTGGATGTGATACTCTTCGGAGGGTCAGTGTGGACTTGTTGGGCCAAATGGCATGTTTCCACGATGTAGGGCTTCTATGATTCTGTTCTATGGATTCAGCCCTACTTGCCTCTACAGGCATCAGTTAATATGGCAGAGACAGTAGGAACTGCAGATGCCGGAGAATCCGAGACAACATGGTGCAGAGCTGGATGAACACAGCAGGCCAAGCAGCATCATAGGAGCAGATATGGCAGCCTCACTTGAGCAGCTTTGTTTACCAGGGCAGGCTTCACGAATAACACTAAGTATTCATGCAAAGTAAGAACTGTTATGAAGGATCTAAATACTCAAGAAATTTGTACATTCTAAAGCTTGGAGAAAGAAGTCTACTCATCTCATATATGCAGGTGTGTTTGAACTCTTTCAGCCAGAGTTACAAGGCTCATATTACTACTATCTTACCATGCTGTTAGCGTATACACAAAGGAAGAAATCTTGTCTAGGTTGTCAGCAGGCCTCAGTCAAGTCAAGGTACCTTTCACTCAAATGTTTCCCTAGACAACTGAGATTGTTTTAACCCAGTTGGCAGCTTCATATCAAACTGGCATGGTCTGGAGTCATTGCCTCCACTCCTGGTCTGAAAGACATCCTGCCTCTGTACCACACTGTCTAGCAGGGCCTCCATGTCCCTGCACTGCAGAGCATTGAAATTCCTCCATTTCTAGGTCCATGGCGATTTTCAGGAATCTTGCAGGGCAACTCTGCACTCACAGTGGGTGGGTGCACAACAGACTTCTTAAGATGTCATGGACGCAAGGGATGCCAATGAATTCTGGATATCTACTGAGCGGCAAATTGTTCTGGAATGCCATGTGGTAAGATGGGGCTAGAATCAGACATGAGACACTCCACAGGGATATGGTAGGTATTTAAT